TTAAATTGAATGAACATGGTCTGGATAGCCCACAGACATACCATAAACATTTCTAGGACCCATAATTGGTCTCCTTTAAAACATCTTTACTCACAGAGTTCAGGATGTTAAAATAAACACACAACTGCACACAACACATACATACTTTTACAATCTTGACGGGACTCATGTCCATGCTTTGTTTGGTGTGTCCTCTCAGAAACGGGGGCTCCTCTTCAACAAGCTCTATTTCYAAATCTTCATCTGTTTGGAAACAAACAGGAACCAGTAAGTTGACAGGAACCACAACTGAACCTGCCTGGTTTAGTTTTTGTATCAATGCTGTGTTTRGACTCACTGTGAATAGTACACTCATTTACTGTTTTTACAGAAGAAGTCCAACTCTTACCTTCTTCATCATCAACTTTAGGAAGGATTCCAGTCTCATCATCAAAATCTGGAAACTCTTCTTTGGACAACACGTTGGCAGCAATCATCTGAGACGAGATAAAAGAGCAGAAATAATGTCRTATTTTTTCACAACAAGCTCAAAATCAGTGAAACACATCATCAACGGCTAACAAACAAAATGATTATTAAAGAATTGTTTGGATCTCTGTACGTTATCAGCTGCCTAACAAGCAATAAAATGAAATAAATGTATTTAATCTGCATTGGGCAGTGAGCWAAAAACTGCTTCGACTTGAGTGTGAACCAACCTGTTTGAGCTCCCACTTCTCCGGGTCAGAGATTTTTGTGAGCCTCTTGCGCTCCAGGGTGTCGTCCTGCTCGAGCTCGGGGGCGTGGCCCAGGTTCAGGTTGCTCGGTCTGTCAGGGTTCCTCATGGCGACGTCGTCTCCGCCCTCAGGACCCATGTTCCTCCTCCTGTTGGGGTTCAGATCCTCTCCTGTCTCTTGGTCCACATCCTGCGAGTAACGGATGAAGCAGAAAGGAATTTAAGTTCTGACTGACCCGACCATGACAGCCAGGGGTAACAAACCATCCGTCTGTTTTCTTACCTTCATACTGAGGCTGGTCTTTGAGCCGGTGAAYGACAGCACCTTGACTTTGACTCTCTGGCCTTTGCTGACAACGTCGGCCACGTTAGCCACGCGGCCCTCCCTGCGCAGCTCAGAAATGTGGACCAAACCCTCCCACCGTTTTCTAAACAAGAAAAACGAGGTCACAAATAAATTCAAACCAACTTTAAAGGGATGCATGATGAGTTGTAATGTTAGACTTTATTTGATAAACATTTAACTGTAAAACAAAAACTTTAAAAATACTGTAGGCTGTTTAGTTTTGTAAAAATATATTTTAACRTGGACAGAGCCATTTTTATTTACACACAAAGCATTCTGGGTAAATGATGAYGTGGATAGGTCATCGTTGAGAGGCTGCTAGCGAGCTATATCCACCCTGAAGGTTRMTCTTGGACAATATCTGATGATCGACTCTTTTAAATGAAACCAGAKAGCGTTGACAGAGAGGAGAAGGTAGAAATGACTCAGCCTGGAACTGAAAATATGGATGGAGGACAACAGAGCTGCTTCATGGAAGAAGAACC